CATAAACAAACCATGGTCAAAACCATATAGCTTAAAAAAAAAAAAAATTTCAAGAGCAGGTTGAAATATTTTTAACGGTTTATAGCAATTTTAACATTATTCTCTGTCCTTCTTCAAACAGATCCAAAACCCAGAAAAATTAAATACTGATGTTAATGTGAACATTTCCACAGGAGCCTGCAATGGGCTTTGGCTCGTGCTTCAAAAGAAAATAAAAGCCCTTGAAAATAACTCTTGGGCTAGGACTTTTTATTCCTCATTCCCATGCTGTACCGATTTGGGAAGACAATCTAACCTTTGCACCCCCGAAAGTTATCTTGTCTCTGAAGTGGGATTAGGTTTTTCTCCCTAAACGATTGCAGGGCTTTTTGTCCCTCTGACAGAGGATATTAAGAAGTGCTGACGCAAAGGTTTCGTGAAGTCTGGAGGAGTTTGTCTCCTAGAAGAGCAAAGAATCATTAGGATGTTCGTGCAACAGCCATGCACGCGGCCAGCAATAAACTGCTCTTCCTTTGAAGTGCACACTTCAGATGTTTGTGCATATAGAGACCGAGCGTGTCTTCCCACGTGCAGTAACCTTTTCTTCTGCTGACTGCGCATCACAGACTAGCGCAACGTCACAAATGTAGCATTAACGGTCTCTGGGTTGCTCAAGAAAGAAGGGTGGAAGGCTGGGAGAAGCAAAACATTGCTTATAAAAAAGAAGGAACACTATGAGGAAAACCAGTCTAAAGAAATATGTTGGGGTCCCTTTGCTTGGAAATATTTGCCAGCCTAAAAGTCTTTAAGTCATTAAGAACTCACCTCTAAGTTGTGCAACACGTTTGCTATTAATTTATCTAATGTTTCTAAGTACTAGCAAGGAAGAGTTCAAGGAATGTTTTAACTACAGCCAAATTTTCCTTGACTTTGTTTTTTATTTCCTTTCTTTTTAGGTCAGCAATAAAAATTAAAAATCTTGAGAAAAAAATACAAACAGTTACTACTTTAAAACAAGCGGCTCGGAAAAGAGAGAAGAAGAATGGGTTTTTCTTCGCACCCCACTGAAATAAAGACCTACAGGTTCTGTCGAGGTTTTGATCAGGCATTAAGATACTTTTTCAACCAAGCTTCTGCGAAGATTATTTCTATGAGGTGATCACTTCTAATAGCAGTGATTACTGCTGCTAGTATTATACCACAGTAATGATAACAAACACTGTGTGTCAGCATCATAGGCTGTTTGGCCATTAACGAAAAAGATTGTAATACTGGTTAATAGAGGTTTGTGATCAATAGCTATTAAAGTTCTGCCGTTATCCCTCCACGATAGCTAGGAGCATAAATAATCACGAGTTATGAAATACTCTCTAGTGTCTCTGCACAGGCAGGAATTGTTTCGATTGCAACAGGCATGTCTTGCGTGTGGCATATCTTAACCACAAAATTGATATCTATGTACAGAGTTTGGTGTCATCGACATTCAACTCACAGCTGAAACTATTTTGGAGTTTTGTTAAGAATGACAAGATTTGATGAATGGAGATTAATGATTAAAATATTTCAGCCTTTCTAAGTCCTCGCACAATGTTATGGTAAATAAGTCTTCAAAGAGATTTATTTTTGTTCCTAGCAGCTGGATATCTAGAGCCTGCCGTTCCTGAGGGAGTCCCAGAGACCTACTTGATGATGGGAGTGTTTCACAGCTGTAAGAGACTCGGATTGTTAAACAATGACTTGAGCTGTAACATATTTTAGTGACTAGACTCTTAAAACCCTGAGGTTTTCTAATTGCCTACAGCCAGCCTGCTTATCGCTGGAAACCTGCGAGCTCCTATGTTGTAACATGAGGCAGTGAAAGCCTGTCTTAAACATGTAATTCAATTACAAGGAAATTATTCCAGAGGAAAAAAAAAAAACAACCCTTCCACCCCATTTTTCTGCTGTCAGAGGTGCAGGTGGGCCGGAGGGCTTGCTGACATAGGTAAGATGGCACTGTTCCTGACGGACCCCTGCAAGGGTGCCGCTTTTTGAGCGCCGTTTGAGAAGGCACGGATGTGAACACAAGCGGTGACGAGAGTAAGGGATAAATGGTGCGCGCTGGTTCCCACAGCATAAAAACCAGCAAATGGCAGAGAAACCGTCCTCCAGCTCATGAAAGCCTTCCCCAAGGTGCGTACAGCAGTGAGATTTATTCTGTTGTCAGTGGCAGGGTGAACTTCTCTTCAACCGTTGTGATGGTGCCAAAATTACAGCTGTAAGATCACACCCTGGATCATCTCTTCAGAGAAGAGCACACCCGAAATGGGTATCACCAGCGCCCTATTCTGCAAGGCATAATGGCATTAATAGCATTAAAGGCCTTTATGGTCCGCGGAAAAATATTCCTTATTATCACTTACACAGGAAAACAGGTGTGAAAGGTAATTGTTTTTCCTACCCACAGAGAGTATTTGTTTGCAAAGCAATTACTCAATTACAAAAATTTCCATTTTGAATCTGAATGAAAATTAAACTTGGACAATGCCAGAGAAACATTTGTGAAGTCATGATGACAGAAGGAGAGCTTTTGTAAAGCACTTTTTATAAGCCGCGTGCACATTTAAAAATCACTTTGAAACTCTCATCAGAGATTTAATTACAGGCTCTGTAGTGATCTGTATTACCAGGCCTTGATTATTTTTGCAAAATATGCTACATTAACTTACATATGATGGAGTTGTAGATTTAAATAGCTTTAAAGTATTATAATTAAAATTAAATAACCATAAACAAAATTAATGAATAACATTTTCTGGTTCGTATCCCTAGTTTTTATGGGCTCTATTTGCTGGCTGATTAGTATGCCAAAAGTAGTCATTTTCTACCATGCAATCATAATCCTGAACGGCTGCGCTTGTGGATGTAATTTTGCTCAAAAGGGATGTAATTCTGCTCAAAACCCAGATGACAAAGAATCAAACTACACAAAGTTCCAGTACTGCCTTGAAATTAAAATATCTTACGAGTGCCTTACTGTTACAGAAGATAAATACATTCGTAACTAGTTTTAGGAGGCAAAAAAATCCTCACTAAATCTGGCATCTTTCTAAAACTTATCTGTTAGACCATTTAAGAGTTTTCCAAATTTCTTGTTTAGCTTGGTTTTTATTCTGTGGCAAGACATTTTTGGGGATATTGTTTGCATTAAATGCGTTTGCATTGTTTGCATGAAAAATATTATTCTGAAAAATCTAATTTTAGCCTTATTTCAGGTAGGTAGTGACAAGAGTAGAATTAATCTACAATAGAAATAGCTACAACTCCCCTGGAAAAATTAATCTTTTTAGAAACTCGTACCTACTTGCCATATGATAAGACCTAGTGTGAGATTTTGGGTCAGCACGAAGCAGCATTTTGTTTGACAATAATTCATTATTCGTACCCTGTTTTGACATGTTTTAGTGTTACGCATGCTTTTGGCTAGTAATTTTCAGTGAGTATCATGCTGTCTTGCCTCAGTCATATACAGCACCTTGTCACAAAACAATTCAAATTCTACTTTGATTTTTTTTCTTCCCCAGAAATATAGGTTATGTGGGATGTCTGACTTACTGTAAAAAGAATAATTTGCTCATATAGTGCCAGTCAGTTTCCAGGCATCACATTTTAAAGGCAGAAAAATCCAATAAATTTGGATCAAAAAGAATGCCAATAATGCCGATTTTGAAGCCATTAGTTTTCCTGTTATCACTGTGCCAGAAATCAAACTGCTGGCACTATGCACGTTCACAGGGGAATAGCAACTGAGGGAATATGGAGAAACTTCAGGTCCAAAGGCGGATGAGATCAGTGTGTAAGAATTACCTGAGCAAAATAATCAAGTATAAAAAAAGTTATTCCGGTGAAAGAGGGGAGATACTTTAAATGACACCCACACTTTAGAAAAGCCACTGCTTGTTTACATAGAATGAATAAGTGGAATATTTCATGGCACTCTCTGGACTTTAAACATTTTTACAGTAAAGGGATACTCGAGGAGGAAAAATGACAGTTCTGCAGTCTGCCATTTCTCTAGGGACAATGCTGAACCCAGTTTTGCTCTAGGAAAGTCTTCAAGTCCCCAGCAAAATCACACTTACGTGTTTTTCGCAGTAGTTTGGCACACTTCTTTCCTGTATATTTCTTGATGAAATGGAGTTACTGCCTTGGTCCATGTGGCTGTGCCTAAAGTGAGCGGGAACCTTTCCGCCTAGGTGGGAGTGAAGCTGTCACCTTCTCAAGAGACTGACTGCAGCTAACGGCCATGCAAGGCTGCTCAAAGCTGATCCTCTCTCCTTTGCAAGACCTTGAGGGCCATAAGAATGAAAACTTAACAAAAATCTCATCTATTTGGGGACGGAGAAACGGGGGAGCTTTTCTTCACTGCGGGTGACCAGCTACTGCATGTTCCAGTAAGTGCTGGCCTTCAGGTGGTTTTTCCCCCTCAAGTGGTTATGTAAAAATAGATGTAGATAATGATGAATTTAATTTCCACCTGAAGCTTTTACAGGACCAGGTCTATAGGGAAGTCGATTCCAGTGTGTCCTCAGCTGCGGAAGGAGAGACAGGTGCAGGCTAAAAAAAAAAAAAGGCTTGTTATAATCACGCCTCTTCAATGCAGCTGGTTTAACAAGAGCACAGAGGTTTATTTGGACCACGCTTGGAAAATGGGAATTTCCATCTTTTTGTTCTCTTCTTAACGTACTGTGCAGAAAGGTCACTTGTTCTGGCAGTGGCTAATATCTGACATCTGAGCACATCCTTAATGGGGTAAATTGCCGTAGTTCAGCAGTATAAATAGCCACAGCAGCACTCACCGGCCGAGGATCCGCTCAGAAATGCTTTTGATTAATTTCCTGTTGCTGGGTTGGTCTTCAAATGCCTCTAGATAACTTCCTGGCAGCGCAGTTAAAACCCCATTTGCAGAGTGGCGTTTCCACAGTTTTGCCTCTGATTTGCAAGCCAGCACTTGATGCTTTCTACTGATCGTATTCACCCACCTCTGTTGGTGGCCTTGGCGGGGAGCTGACTCGAGAACCTTCCCGGTGCAATCTGTACCGACACCGCGCAGACGGGCAGCGGCATTAATACCTCCCGTCCACCATCTGCCGATTCTTCCCTTGTGTATTTACCGGTCTGTGGAAGGACTTTGTGCCCTTCTTCCTCTGGCGTGTAGGGCTGGATGATATAAATATGCCGCTCCTTCACTTCCCAGTATACATTTATAGCTCTTGGCTCTTAAAGGATTTGTTGTCTGTTATGATGGCAACTTTTCAGTAGCATTTGCATGACCAACAAATACTGATTAAAAAAAAATGGATCACCATCTGCACAATACATTTTATGAAATCCTTAAGGATTTTTTTTCATGTGTGGTTATTTGGACCAAAACTGTTCAACTGTAGCATTTTATGGTAATTTGACTTTAAATACAATTGTAGCACAAGTGGGTTTTATAGTCGTAAGATTCATTTACTAGAAGCAGGTGAAGAAAGATGTATTTGAGCAGCAGAAACCAAAATTCGCACGGCGAACCTCAGAACCGGATCTTCTTTTCTACAAGGTTGTAATACCAGGATTATGAGCTCAATTTTTCTGTCACCTACATGAGTTCTGATGAAGTGTAACTAAACTCGGTGAAGCTGCTCTTGATGGAGAACACGTACCATCCTCAGGAAAGCCCAGTGCCAGCGAGTGATCTAGTTTTCGTATCCATGCCGTATAGCTGAGATTTTATTTCCAGTCATACGTAAAACTGCACAGACAACACAAGGTGGAAAAGGACCATCGCTTCAAAAAACAGGAAGAGCTAGGGAAAATCGTAGCGGCTTGAAGGCAGAGGGAAGGAGATGCTCTTAGGGCTTCTCTCTTGAGTCCCAGTGACCACCCCCGGGTAGGTCTATGGAGCTGGACCAGAGGCAGGACCCCAAACTGGTGGTTTAGGTGCAGTCCTTCCCACCTCTGTTTCCCGGCTGTTACTTCCAACCAATGCACTAGAAAAGTAACTGACAGAGACAGGGGTAAGAGGGCAAAAAGGAAAAGATAGCATTTTATGCCAGATTTTGGGCCACATAGTGATAGTGTGGAGATGGAAAAGCGTTCACATCCCAACCTGCCTGTACTCCATCTGTTTGCAACAAGATACTTAGTCCCTGTGTAAGCAGAGGGAAAAGGGATGGGGTTTTTTTTAGTGCACATTCATGTAGATTTTGAAAGGAGGAAACCAAGCAAGCTAAAATTAAATATAATTTTCTCTTTTTCCCCATAGACTCAGTCTGGATGGATGCCAAACCACATTTCGGAGGGGTGAGAAAGGCCCAACATCTGCTTCTGGTGTAACTGTTTGTATCTTCACTCTAGGAAAATTAGGTTTGAAATAATCTCAAATTGTCTGACACCTGTATCCTATTAGAAGTGACACATGGAAACACCTTCAGCATACCGAATTTAGCGCCATGTCAACAGTTTAAAGTTAACAGGAAAAAAATTGGTAAAAATCATTGCTTCCCAGTTTCTGCTGAAACAGATCTTGTGTCATTTCACAGGATCATACTGCAAGCTTGATCCATAAACGTAACGGGGTTTGAACCAGTAATTATAACATGGTTTGCGTCCCTAGCTATAGCTGGAATTAAATTCAGCAGGCACCTCAAGGTGACTGGTGTACTGTATTTTGAGCTCAGTGGAGGCACACCTACGGGTTGGGTGCCAGCCAGCACCTAGGACACGGACACACAGCCATTTCAGGGACGTTTTTTCTGGAGTTCGGCTACGAATCTGACATTTAGCAACTTGCAGCTTATGAGAATAGTGAGCAGGTCCTATCTTTGTCTCAAGACAGGGAGTCAAATTCCTGTGACAGAAGATAAATCCTGCATGGCACAGAGGTTTGCTAGTTTTTGGACACAGAAAAACCAAAAGAATTCTGAAGTCAGGCAACTGGTTTTGCTATATCGCCTGTGCACTTCCCTCAGTGCAGACGCCAAAGTGCCTGTAGGGATTTATTTTAAACTTTCTTCCCAAACCTATGCAATCTCCCATTTGCAAATTCCTCTCACTTAGGAACAGATCTGGTGACCTTTTCCCAGGTAACACACTGACAATAAGATTCAGGTTCTTCTGAGAAGGACATTCATTAAAATTCATAAAACTCCATGACTTCCATAAAATTTATACTACCTAAAAATACACTATCCATTACAAAAACTTGTGTCTTTCCATTCATCTTTAAACACATTCCTTTTTCTGAGAACTTTGAATCAATTTGTTTTGAGAGATCAGTTGTTTTTTAATGCTAGTCTGAGAGTAAGGGAAACTGTTTTCTTTTCAGATAGTATTGTTTTTCAGCAGACCTGCATCTTCAATGAGCAACGTCTAGAGTCAAGAAAACAGGAAAACACACTGGTCTTGATTATTTTTCTCTTTTGTTCCTGCCAATTATTTGACACCATGTGAGTGGTCATTTTATCATGGAAATAGCTGTGACAAGCAAAGAGGATATTTACAGAAACACAGGCAGGTCAAAATGTGTTTTAAGAGTCGGAACATAGCAAATTAACTTTTGGAAATTTAAGCAGAGGGCCAATACCAGGGTTTGTCAGCTTGTGGAGATGGGACAGGACTGGAGGGGAGGCCCTGCCCCGCCGGTGCTGAGGCTGTGGGCGGCCAGCGGGGAAAAATGGCTGGGGCTGACGGAGATGCCTCACTGCCATGGGCCCTGTGATGCACAAAATGACCAGCATGACGTCACTGTCACTCCGTTCCGGTTGGGAACCTGTGGGGGTGTGCACAGGGGAGTGCTTTCATCTCCCCTTTTTATTTTTTCTTTTCTCTAGTCAAAAGATAATAATGATAAAACCCACGAATGCTCAGTAAGACCTGTTATAGCTAACCTGCTGTCTGTGTGTGAGTAAAGTCAGAGCTCATGCAAGAATGGACCAAAAAGTTAAAATATGGGCGAGCACACTGAATTTCAACATGAATTACGGCACGCTAATGAAAAATATGTTAAAAGTAGAGAAATGGGGCAATAATGGAAAGAGAGACCGATAACACTGAACCATTTTCTAGAGAGAAGAGAGCATGCAGGACCCTGTAACAAGAAAGAGTGTCAAGTACAAGCTTAGGCTTTTTTTAACCCCACGACCAGCCAAGTGTAATTCCTGTACGGTGTGGCACTAGTGACACTAAACAAAGGATCATATGTAGTATTTTACGTGCACCCATAGCTGAAAAATGTCAGGGAAAATCTGGAGCACAATGAAACCTATCTGAGGTGGAATTTATTCTAAGGGAACAGCTCCAGTGCCACAGCCTGATTTTGGAATAGTTTAATGGAAACTGCTCCCATGGTCTTCCTTAGGTTTAAAACTCTCAGCTTAGGAGAAGAAAAATATGAATAGACCCAGCAAGCTTCCCAAGAAAGAAAATGATAAACTGCTGTAAGCGAAACGTGTGTGTACATCGGAGGAGCAGCTTTAAAGCAATGTGAATTTGAACGAAGGAAGCTCACAGCTACATATTGCAAACAGCTTTCCAAAAAGGATGTTACATGGTAGGACAGTTCCCCTAAAAGGATGTTACAAATCACATACTTGACTTACTAAACAACAGCAACAGTCTGAAGGGAACAGTATAAGACAGGCAGTAATTCTTCATTAGGAACATCTGATTAGAGGATTTATCTTTCTAAAGTATTTTTGCCTATTACTGAAATAGAAGGGAGAAAATAAGGGTGCCTTGTAAACAGCTCTACTTTAGGTCCCCCAAAAAAAGCTTCAAACGACAAGGTGTCAACATGAATTCAATAAGGCCGCAATACTGCTCTCCCTGTATTTCGGTCATGTTACAGCTGAGGTTTGACTGGAATATGGATGCAGAGCCCTGCTATTTGGATGTGCAAACACCGATCCCATCCAAATATCAGGATAAGCTAGTCCCTTCCCCAGGGGCAGCTTGGCCTCTGAGACAGACTTTAGCTGCTGGCAAAGATCCTCCCACACATCCCACAACCTGTTTATCCCAGCTGAGATCTCTGTAAAGAACTGAATCAACAAATACACATTTGTAAGTGCAAACACGGGCTGTGAAACTCCAAACTGAAAGGCCAGCGCAGCCTCCTCGCATATCCTAACTCCCGCCCTTGAACTTTCAGAAGTCAATTTTTCCTTGGTACTTCTGATTTTAAATGCATGAGCCCTCTTCAAAGTCTTAGCAAGTTTTTGCCCTTCAAAAAATAGCCGGTCTTGGTTATTCCTGGTTGGACCTTGCTATCACAACTTGACAAATGTGAAACAAAATAATAGGTAATAAATTTTGAATACAAATCCCACATTTGTCCCCAAGGAAGTACACCATTCTTTTAAGGATGGACAACGCGGTCTTATCCCAGCATTTATGTCTCCCTTTCAGAACAAAAATAAAACGAGGATCTGCTTATCCTTTCCTTTTCAGTTCAGGAAAACGTACCTTCCTGCGAGAGCCTGATCGGTGGCTGATAATGTCACCTAATCTGAGCAGGAACAGCCTGGGGACTCTGGTGTGAGACAGGAAAATACACCAGCTGGAAACCTGCACAGGGGAGGTACCAGCTTCAGTTACCTCCGTCAGCCCTGCTGGCTCTCCTCACGCTTACAAAGACCATAAACCAAGCATAACTCAGAGAAGAAATACAGAAAAAAAATGTAGGGAGAAGAGGACAAGGAAATCCAGGAACTGAGCGGATTAGTCACTGGTGTCTCGCGCCTGGGATCTGGGACCTGCTGAAACATTTTCAGTTCAGTTAAGTAAATGCAAGATTTAATATCCTCTTGTCAGCAACCGCACAATTATTTCATGGTGGCCGAGGCCTGACTGCATCTGAAAACAAAGTGCCCTATTGCCTGTCTTTCCCTCTAAAACAAACTGAGGTGCATGAGCAGCTGGCATATCTTTCAAGGCACATTTCAGGTGTTTGCTTTCTTCAGATTAATTAAGATGTTCTTTCCTTTGTTTGTTTCTGTAGCTCACAGGACTTTTTTCCTAAGAAACACCATGCTCATCGTGTGCCCGTTGTATTTCAAGACAACAGAGCGGCTCCCCTTTGG